TAGCTACTTAGAACTTTGGAAGAGGTGGGAATTAAAAATAGATAATGTTTACTAGAGCATTGTTTGTTATTTCTATCGTAAAATATAAAGTAGTTTGTAACAAAAAAACTTAAGCTAAGGGTGACACGCCGTCCATTATGACGTCTTGGGTCACATGGAAGCCAGATGTTGATGGTGTGTTGGTGTTACTGGATGCTACTTCATCATCACTTTCATCTTCGCTTGAGCTTCCGTCATCAGGTCGATCACATGGTAATTTTTTCAGTATTCTTCCTCAACAATTTTAACTTTACTGCACAATTTTCCCCATTCACCTTCTCCTATCATATTTACCTTTTCGTTCACTAGTTTAGTCATAAAACAATAGATATAAATAATTTTTTTCCTTCCTTTTTAAAACATCGTCGCGAGTCGCAAAGTAAGCTGTGTATGCGACTGTATTTTTGGAGCGAACAAAGCGCGGGAACCAATAGCATGCAGGCACAATAATACTGGCCAATATGTGATAAATCGCTCAGTGCCCAAGTTCAAGGCCAGCGTTCTTTTTTCACCGTTCGCGCGTACATTAACCTCCATTAGTCAGGTGATATCAAGTCAGTTTCCACTGCTGGTTTTATGTTTCAGTATTTTCATGATTTTTTTTATGAAATTATCGTTTCATTTAGCTGTACTAACATGATGGCGCGTGAATAAAGCTAATAAAACGTTGTAAAAATATGTTTTTTTTTCATCAGGATCAAATTTATTTATGACCCATGATCAAAGGTATACTTGGTGCTGTCGCCTGTCTTAGTTTTCGGGAGCGTTCCAAAAATACCCTGTATATTTCGTCACACTGTCTCATCTCTATTATTAGTTCCGTGGACGTTTATTTCTGCTGTCAGCGCCAAAATGGTGAAAATCACATCGCCTCATTATGTCACGCTCAGTCCATACATATATATAGAGATCAGTGTCCACACATCATGGTTTGTGTATTTCACGTATGAAGTCTCATCACATTCATATAACATAACCTTGAACGTATGACCTACCTTATACGTGACTTCGATAATTATATTTCAACTCTCTTATCACTTCTTTCTATCACTTATCACAATCTTTTTCAGAATGATATTCATCATCATTACAGCCTATCAAAACTCCATCGCTGAACAAGGTCTTCCCCGTAGACTGTCTCATGCAGAGAGCATTCAGGAATTTTTTTTGAGTTGTTATGAGGAAGAAGGAAGGAATTTACGAACAAACAGTTTACCTGTTGCCTATCTTCTGTTTAATTTTCTTCTATCACTTTTACAACACTCACGGGATGTAATATTATGGGGTAGTGGATTCCCTTATACTAGCACATATCCTAGTATAGCTAATAGCTTTGCACTATCGTCTCGACAAAACAAATAATATATTGTATGAAGAAACGGTAAAGTCGTTCAGAAGTTGCCCGATTAGTAACATAGGTATAATATACGAGTACTTATGATTATATTGAGTAATCGATATATTATATAAAAAGACTCCGGCCGGCCTAGCAGACATTATTCTGCCCTTACTGGTTGTGGAATGTTGAATATACCTAAATATAATAACTTGACCACAGCGCTACCTACTATACTAGAATTATTTTGTCCGTGCAGCTTGGGTCATAAATCATCGGAGTATTTCTCTCTCTCTCCCACTCACGGGTCTTAGGGGCGATCACAGTGATGTGCATTATTTTTGTCCATAAGCGCTATCGATAGTGTATTTAGTTTTGTCATTGTGTGGGTTAGTGATAAAAAAATGGACAAATCAACGTATTTATTAATAGGAATAATAATGATTTAAAATAAATTATTAATTAGGTATCTATGTATTAAAAAAACTATAAGTACAAATGTTTGGAATGCAACAAGTTATATTAAAAGTAAATATAAATATAAAGATAATAACTTATATCTAAAATTAAATCTAAAGCTTAAAATTAACATATACATAAACATTAAAATTCTATATCAGAATCATCAGAGTCATCGTTATCCACATGAATTACGATATCTTGTACCAGATGAGATTTCTTCAAGTCTTTCTCTTAGAATTTTTCTGCATGCTTCACACAATCTTCCCAGTTCTTTTGCGAAACGTTTGAAATTGCTTCATGCAGTGAATGCCCAAAAACAAATTTCTCTTCGATATATGTACTAAATTATCATTGCACTAATTTGCAGGTATTAGGCGGGGGTAATAATGGAAAACAAATGACTCATAACATAACAATATCGCACCATCCTTTGTATATGATGCCTTCAATGATTCATAAGTTGTTATCGATAATGTCGCTGCGCCCGCGCAACATGCTCACCGCCCTAGCCGGGCTGAGGCAGAGCTATGATTTATGACCCCAACTGCACGGACAAAATAATTTTTCTATAGGTACAGATATTGTGACTTTATTTTTTTACACCTAACCAACATACTATAATGCACAATAACATATCTCCCGGGGCTATTGAAATTCTTTGTTAAATATTCTAAGATAAAGAAAATTTTCAAAAAAATTTTGCTATTTCAATAGTTATTTGAAGTATAATAAAGAATAATTACATAAAAATCAGTTTTTTAAACGAACAAAATTCTTCATCCTTTGAAGTATGGTCTTAGCGAAAAGCCTTACAGCATAATTTCTGAATAAATTAAAAAATAAATATTGAAGCCCTAAAATGCCCTGTGCGTGTGTGCATTCTATACCTATTTCACTAGGGCTGCCAAGTAGTTGTTATTATCTATAAATCTATACAAATGAATAAAATTTGAAGTGTCTGTCTGTAATGTCAAAATAGCAGCTTTCTACTAAATACCTTTAAAAGTATATACGTTGCTTATAACAAAAACACATTTTTTAAACTTTTGTTGGTCTGTCTGTTTGTTCCGGCTAATCTCCAAATGGCTGAACCGACTTAAACGACTTTCACTCATAGATAGAAAAGATAAGATGATATAAGGAGTATCCTAGGCTACTTTTATTTTAGAAAAACAATTTCGGTTCCGCGCAAAAAAAAATTAAATTACACGCGGGGAAGTCGCGGGGAACAGCTAGTGCTGTAATATAATCTTTGGGGCTGCTTGGAACGTTAAAATAAAAAAATGATATGAAATATATTACTAATACTTATCATCATCATCATCATTACTATACCACAAAGCATGGTCCCGAGTTACCTGCTTCCATTGACTTCCTGCATGTATTACCAGGTCGCCAGGCCATCTAGTGGGGGAACGCCCTACACTTCGCCTGCCGGTAAGAGGGTGCCTCTCGAAAACCTTTTTTCCCCACGACGAGAATTACTAATAATATAAAGACACAAATCATCATTTCACTGATGAGGTCAATCTACTTTTTTATATTTCAATGCTTCCAATGCTGCCCATCACAAGTCGCTTTACAAGTTTCTCATAATCTCACAAACACTCACGGTTGTCACCCAGAAGGGTAGACAGAAACTACGGACTTCCATTTGGCACGATCCACGATCACGCCTTAGACGAAATTTTATCGACCAAATAGGCGATATATTGAAATGTGAGCCAGATCAGGAGTACCCTCCAATGAGCATGAATGCGTAGGTATATATGGATGTAAAGGAGGCGAGCGAAAGATGGGTGACAGGCGTGAGTGTTTATTTTATGTATATTGGCTATTAAAACGTCTTCATAGTTATTATTGGTGCAACTAGAATTTGCAGTCTAGTATAAAATTAGATATCTGGTAGCCCTATATTTAACACACACAGACAAATACTTTTCGTTTGATTTAAATTTAAAAACACATGATGTGGTGTATATAGGTGAATAGTGATACTACTTTAACTCACACTACTACAAAATCTGTGTCTGACTGATGCAGTTCTAGTTACACATAGCGGTGGGTAGTAGCGGCTTTTTTGAGTAACGAAACGAAACTATCTATCGAATATCAATAGCGGCTTTTGAAACACTCTATTTTAATAGAGGGTTTTGAAACACTCTATTTTAATATCGGCTTCAATAGACTGTTTCACGACGTGTTTAATTGAAAAACGTTGCGAATGAAACGATGTCCGTTTCACGAGAAAACTTGTTTGTTACCGTTTCGTATAGAATTAGACATGGTGTTGACGGTTAAATTTATTTATTTGTTAAATCATTTCGCACGGTTTGATAAAAATATCACTTGAAAAGATTTAACGGCAAACGATTTATTTAATAATTATGATTATGATAAATTCACCCACAAGTTCAGCATAAAATATTGAATATAAGTTTGATTTTATAGCAAATAATTATTACAATGCTTATTTTTAGCCATCTCAAGCCTAAATTTTTATGTAATAAATCAAATGAATACATGTATTGATGTTTTAAAGAATATTTTCCGCCGTCATCTACTCCATTCTACAGGTATTAAAGTCATTTTATCGAACGAAAATTACTTGACTCTTAAGGTGGTATGTAAAGAAGACGCTAGATGGCATAAATACGGCTAATTCAATATAAAATTATAAAGCGGTAAGGTAAGAAATCGATCGTGGATTGTTTTGAATGGACTGGAATATGATAGTTTTATTCATTACGGTTAATTTTATTTATTTGATTTGTTAATTTCTTTAACTGTTTATTTTAACAATTAAAAGATATAATAACCATTTTTAATAGATTACTGCTATCGAGATTTTAGTGTTAAAAATTCTATACTGCAATGAAATTTCCTTCATGCTTTATCCAGGCTTAGGACTGGCTGGTTAATGAAGTAACAATTAATACTAAAGTTAATCTTTTAATAACACAGGCGCATTTAAAATTTCATTGTATATACATACATAATCAAATATATACAAGTACTATATACAAGCCTAGATTATTTACACAGTTATTTACAAATGTTAATTGTCTCGTAAGTTAACGTTCAAAAAGATTAATTGTGCCACTTTTTTGACATAATCAATTATATACAAGCCTAGATTATTTACACAGTTATTTACAAATGTTTAATTGTCTTGTAAGTTAACGTTCAAAAACATTAATTGTGCCACTTTTTTTGACGTTAATCTCGTTCGACGTTCGTTAATGGTAAGGCCGGTTTTACTGAAAATACGTTCACAAGGAACTGATGTCGCTAAAATGTTACCATAGCTCATGTACAGTTTAGCTAGGTGAGGGTACGTAAATCTATGATTTTTCCACCATTTCAGGGGGCAATTCCATTTTCTTTGCTCGTCAAACAGCTGCAACATTTCATCACTTAAATAAGTATCGACTTCTTTTATAGATCTTGACAATGGAGTCCCGACCGTGTGTTGCGTGCCTACAATATCACATAAAATTGACCATGGTGAGAAAGGGTCGTAAGGTTGCTGGTTTGATGAGGATGCCACTGGTTCTTGATGTGAACTTTCACTGCAAATAATATCCATAACCATTTCTTGCACTCTCTTTTTTGTATTTTGCGCTTCGTTTTGGTCACTGAATACAGTCATTTTATAACGCGGATCTAGAAATGTGCAAATTGCAAATGTGCGGCTTTTCTCGACTCCAGCGAAACGAGTCTTCAATCCTTCCTTTAAGTCTCTTACAACAGTGATTGCAACTGGGGAAAAGTTTTCTAGCAGTAGTTTCTCACAGGCTGTTAAGAGGCATCTCGTCATGACTATTACTGCGCTTCCAGTCATATATTTCTCACCACTCAAAGAACGTGTAGCGTCATCGAATGGCTTTAAGATTTTTTTAAGTTCTTCGAACAGCTGCCATTCTTCGTTCGTGATAATCGGCAGATTTTTATCAATGACTGCTACTGTGGCTCTGATAAAATCCTTGAGTTCTACAAATCGATTTATCATGTAATATGTGGAATTCCACCGCGTAGGTACTTCTTGTATAAGTCTTTTTGGAATATTATTAGGATTTTCTATAGTTTGGGCCTTTAATAACTTTTCAAGAGCACTACTGCTTGTTTTGAAATGTCGCACAATTTTTTTTATTTTTTCTAAATTAATGGCGATCATTTTAATTGCGTCTTGTACTACAAGGTTTAACGAATGCCCATAGCAACCATAGTGTTTCCACCCGATTTCCGAAATCGCCTTTTGTATATTGGCGGCATTATCAGATATCACAAAGTTTATTTTGTAGCGCAGGCCCCATTCGTTAGTTATAGATAATAATTTTTCTTGGATGTTCGCGCTGGTGTGAGCCTCATCGAAAATTGAGCATTGCATAAGAATGGATTTTAATTCATATTGCTCTGTTATGAAATGCCCTGTCACGGCAATATAACTTTCGTTTGCACGTGATGTCCATAAATCGGTTGTAATGCATAACTTGATATGATCATTTGATCTTATCAAGTTTAGTTCTACCTTTATTTTTTCCTTAGTTTGCTCGTAAAGAGCGGGAATCATAATGTTAGATATAGTTTGACGGCTTGGCAATACGTATCCCGGTATCCAACTTGCGAACTTTTTGAACGCTCTCTCTTCCACTATTGAAAATGGTTGATATCCTTCTATGAATAAGTCCAGTAGATCTCTATCAATCTTTTTTTTTTGATCAGCTGATATTTTTCTTGCTGTACCGTACCTGTCCATTCGTTGTTGTTGTGGATATGGTGCAGCTCGAGGTGCAGCAGTAGTCTGACTAAATTGATGAATTGACCCGGTGACGTCAGCAGGTGGTGTGATACTACTTGCCCCTGCTGTCGTCGGTGGTTGCGACGCTGACTCAGCCGTTGGTGTAGAACGCATCTCCCGTAAAATTACACCTTGATGCGAAGCGACTCTTTCATATGCGTCTAAATGTCTCTTACGTAAATGGCTCTTCAGATTTCCCGTAGTAGTCTTATAACTATAAAAGTCACCGCACAGTGTACACTTGGCCTTCATGGTTGTAGTATCTTTTGTAAAAAAGTCCCAAAGTACACTGGCATTGCTTCGAGACATTTTTAATAACTATCACATAAAGTTTTAGTATTATTTTTACACTTAGTTACTTAAACTAATTACTGTACAATTATTATTATTAACACTAATATATACAATTGTATTTAGTTCTTATTTTACTAAAAATATTATTATTATTGCACAAAAAGAAACTAAAATATTAACAAACGCGCCTAAAAAGTAAAAACAAACCGTGTCATTAAACTTAAACAACACGACTAATTTATATTTAAACCGGGCCAAGGCCACTTAAATTATGGAATTTGAACTATTTTTTGTTAAAAACATGCACACTTACTTTCTCATTTCTAATATCGCATCTATACGAAGGGAATAGAGTCATAGGTCAAATGGAAAAGCACCCGCGCTCACTCGACATTCAACGACCGGTGGTACTTCTATCACAGAGTAAAGAGTCGCTTTCTTTACTCATGTGTAGGCATGGGTAATATCACTTTTACCCTATATCAAATTGTACCTATGTATTGGATATGAAAATCCGATTTTCGATTTCAATATCTATATATTTGTTAATATCTTCGTTCTGAAAAGAAGTCAGTACTCAATATCACATTTGTGATACGCGATTTATGAACAAATTTCCATATATTGATTTATAGATATATTGTATTATTTATGTAATACCTATAAGTATTCTTAATGTATCTCATAATATAAAAAGTAGGATTTATCCTGCGAGATAATGAAATAGAATATTAAATTTATCGTGTCGTGTTTATGCCATCTAGCGTATAATGTACGTACCACCTTGAGCGTTAATCAATTTTTGTTCGATAAAATCACTTTACGTATAGAATCTAAAAGGTGGCGTTTTACAAAGTAATTTTTACTCTTTCCTCTAAAGAATAATATTTTAAAAGTATTTAATATTATTTTAATTTATTACACTTAACTTTGGGCTCTCCATGTTTAAAAATAAGGATTGCAACATTTATTTGCTATAAAATTAAACCTTTATATTTTATGCCACACTTGTGGTTATGATTAGTGGTTATATTATACCCCTACGCGAAAGGAAATTTTCCCATATCTAGACAGCGGGTATAGTTTTTCAGAATCGGTGAAATAAACTTTCCTTCATAATTTTCTCAGTTTTAATTTACATACCAAAAATAACATTCTATTAAATACACAATAAGATCTAAAATAGTTTATTTTGAAAACAGTGCAACACAATTATATTACTTAGACTAGATATTGAAAATTATGTGTTCTGTAATAAATCGTATGGTACTACTAATAAGGATTAATATTAAAAATATTAAGCGTAAGCGTATCACCTTTTCGTTGTAAAGTAGTCGTAATATCTGTTTTAGCTATATATTCTATCGCGCTCAACGTTTGTTCGGTATCCGAATCAGTGTATATATTTAGATATTTTACGTTTCGGTTTTGAGTAGATATTAGATATTCTGCGATGACTCATATCAACACCGTATCGTAAAATCGTAATATCTAATACATAGTTAGTTTGTCGTCGAATATATAGATGTTGGATATTGTACTGATATATAGATGTATCTATATACGATTTGTATCGCCCACTCCTACTCATGTGCTTCTACTTCAACAGTCGAAGCCGTCGCCGATGCGTCGCGAAAATAGCCGAATAAACGTTTTGTTACTGATCGCTCGTTCGTGATTCGTGAAACGTGAATCGTGTTACTGAGTAAAACGTCTACTGTAATAGATAGTTTCGTTGCACTGCAATAACCCGCTACCCGCTATTGTGTGAATAGATAGTTTCAGTAACTAGTTACGTTTTGTAACGACCACTCCTAGTTACACACATTTGCAACATTCTGTGGTAATTTTTCGCGGCATCAAGCGTCAGTGAACTTATTTTGTACTGAAAAATCTAAAATCAAGTGAGATTATGTACTGATTTATATATTTATATTGAGGTAATTATTCAAAGCATCTATTAAAATTTGAAATAGCATTGTATATCTCAGTTTTTCGTTATTTTTGATAATGTAAAGTTATGATGGCGCGTGGATGACACTTGCAGAGGATCCCAATTCGTAACAAAATAGGACTTGGTTCGAATGGTAAAGGATGATTGAGTTTTTTAACAATTATTTCGAGTCCCGTGACTAATAATCTTCTAGAAACTGTCTTTTGTTTATTTACAACTGATGAAACTGATTTGTTAAAATGAAAATTAAGTTTCCGAAAATTGCGATCTCTAGTAATGAACTCTGTTGTATATTCGTATATGGGCAACCATAATGTTACGCGCACAGTGAATTAACTCAGCGTCACAGGAAATTGCATACGCTAATTTTATATTCATGAAAATAATATTTGATGTCTAAGTCGATCGAATTTCATTTAAATTATTCAATAACCTAGTTGACACTGAGACAACTCCATTTCATTTCTTTTGTTTTAGCTGCAGCTCGCACGACTTTTCTGGAAATTGCAATCAATTAAGCCCACTTAGGTGTTATTTTTACTATTCTTTTGTTGACATTACTTTGCATAAGTAAAATTTATCGAAAATTTAGAAGGCGATACATTATTTATCGATATTACGTCAGTGTTCCAATTCGGTGCCTGAATGACAAATGCCGAACCAAAATGGACGAATCAGAAGATAATATGAGTGCAGAAGAGATAAAATATTGTTATAGTCCGTCTTTTGTTAAAGGTAAACCTAAAAAAAGATCTATTGTTGAAAGGGAATTAGAAACAAACTTAACAGCTAGAGTGACATCTCCTATAACAAATGGAGAAAATAGTAGTACCAGCCGCTATGGCAGGACACGTCGTCTGAAAACTGACATAGACTCTAGCGATTCTGAAAGATCAGTTACGAAAACACTAAAATCACCTAAATTTGAAAAATCACCTGCTAGAGTGCAATCACCGGCTTACAAAATGCATGCCTCAAACTCACCAATAAGGGTGGAAACACTAAAGCGAACACCTACTGCTGAAAATAAATTGGATACTCAGATTGAGAATATATATAACGAAAATATCTCGTTAAGTCGCTTCAGTTCTGAGGAGAAACAGAATATTTCTCCAGTAAAGAAATTTCCTAAAGTGTATATAAGAAAAGATCTAATTCAAACTAAAGATAAAGAAAAAGAAGAAACAGTTGTATTAATAAAAAACATCTTTTCTCCTGTTAAATTGAGAACATCAAGTGACACCCATATAGGAAATATTTTAGAAAGGTCTTCAGAGAAATATAGTATAGGCAGTATAAAGCAACAAAATGGGTATCTGAATACATCATCTGTGGTGAAAACTTTGGACTTCGATGGTAACAAAAAGAAAAAGAGGGAAAATAAGGAGGGTAAAACAACTCTGTCTAAAAGTGAAATATTTGAGATGGAGGCTAAATGTGAATACCAAGTAGGAGATTTGGCTTGGGCTAGGATGGGAACATACCCATTTTGGCCATGTATAATATCAAGAGATCCTATCTCTGGAACATTTGTGAAAAAGAAGTGTGAGTATCACTACATTTTAAATTATTATTTAGTAAATAAATACTGAGTTGTTTAAGTTCAGGGACTAAGAGCTTGCAGTAAATTTCACAATATGTAATACAACCTAGGTTCAAGCCCAGCTGCCACTAATGATAGTGTTAATGGCAATTTAAGATCTGATTTACTAGATGCTTGGCAGTGAAGTAAAAAATGTAAGGAAACCTGCATGTCTGAGGAATAAATATTTTTCTAAGATCTATGAAATTTGCCCACACACACTAAGACTTCATCATCATCATCATTACAACCTTTTACAAGTCCACTACTATACATTGGCCTCAGATATGGTTCGATAGAATAGAAAACTCATGCTCAAGGTGCAAATGTATGCAAGGTCAGTTAGACTAGGATAAAACATCAGAAACATGGGACAGTCATAACCAAAAATGACCTGTGATACAACAATTAGTGCTATTAGTATTATTTTAGAATAAATGATGCCTTCTGCTAGGATTTAAACCTGCATAATATTTGGCATAAAAGCAAGATACTCAGGTTGTCGGTGTTGTGTTCTCAAACAAACTAAGAAAGATAGATGAAATACATACATATATTTTAAATGACTCCAAAATCAAGCTAAATTATTATTGTAATAACAAACTCATACACACATGCATCTAAAATCATTTTCTAACAACGAGGTAGTTTTAAGTACATATAAGTATGAATGTACATATGTGTTCAGCAGTGGACTATTATAGGCCAATAAAGAAAGAAAGATGTGTGTGTCAAAAAGTTTAGTTACTTGAAGTGAACATATTTTTCAGTCTATCTTTCTTTGTTAAAACTACTATAAATTATGTAAACCCCAAAAAAATTGCAGGTGAATATATATTGTGAAATCTCTTATTATATTAAAATTTGTGATGGAACAGATATATTTAGTTGACTATGTAAGAATATCCACTACCCTATCATTGTTGGTTTGTAAGCCCGGCAGAGAAATCCCCTGCCTCCTTGAGAACCGCCTAAGGACTGGTGTGAAGCAATTGGCGGAAGCGTGCCCGAAAGCCTGGCAACGATGGCATTGTGCCGGTCTCGTTCGTTTCTGCCAGACTTCGATGACTACTCCTCTCATGTAGAGGAGTTCGCCGACTTGATAGAGATAGTTTAAACGCTCCAGGCTCAGATGCTCGAGCTGTGCGTAGTAAAGGAGGGTGTGGTTTTCATAAGAGGCGACAGAGGGAAACAAATCAGGATATGGGCAGTGCTTTCCTAATAAAGACTAAAATAAAGAAAAACTGCAAAAATCTCCCCTATGAGGCAATCTATAGGAGAGACCTATGTTCACCAGTAGACTTCAATAGGCTGTAACAATAATGGATAAGTGAAATATTTTTAGTATAATAAATTTGAAATCAATTTATGAATACTTAACAACTAACATGGATATTTTTAATGTAGTTGTTTGGACTTTACACCAATAATATCTTCACTGCTTAGCCTGGATGTAGACTGGTACAGAATGCCTTGTTGCATTAAGTCTGCCTTTTTGTACTTGATGTGTAAATAAAGTCTAAATAAATAAATACTTTTAATTTTATTTCTAACTCCATAATTTTAGTGTTAGCAGCTCTAGTGTATAAATATTAGTTTGTGACATTCTATCTTAGGCTTTTTAATACTACAGAATTTACTTAATAAATATCCAATACTTTGAATACTTTTGGTTAAAGAAATAATTATTTGGACTAGTGTTATACTAGGTCTGATTATGTTAAGAAAGAAAGAAAGGAAGAAAGAACTATTTATTAGATATACACATTTTACACACATTAAAAAATTATACAAAAGCAAGTGGACAATGCATGTACCAGTCTAATACTGCTTACACATTAACAATTAAGAAGCAGTATATAGACTACACATCAATAATTAATCAAACAAACAAAAAAAAGTAAAAAGGAAAAAAAAATCAATATTAAAATGTGAAATAGGTCTCCAACTTAGCATAATGCTGCAAAGACAGTGCTGGTTTTCAGTTGGAGCCTTGTGACTTCACAGACAAGTTGATGTGTGATCTTCCAACTATGAGTTATATACGAGTTCATAGTTATCTATTAACAATTACAAGTTAAAAAGTAGTGCTAACATATATAACATATACACACAGACACTGAGACTAAACTTAGCTAACAGGTGTATAAGTGTTATATTACTATATATTTAATTAATACCTACTTATTATATTACATACAATATTAACATGTTATTTGACTATTCTGACTATTCTATGGGGTAGACATCTTTTACTTTTTTCATAAAAGTAGATAATTTAACTTTCTGTAATCAAAGAGACATGCCATGTTACGAGATGTTATAAGCTCCCATGTCTGTCACTACATATCCTATCATTTCAACTTATCGTCAGGCATGTGTGGTACGTACAGGGGTGTAATAAATAAGTGTAGTAAATATGATGAGTTTTGCCTGCCATATTTCTAGAAATTGGTCATGGTACATGGTAATTTTCGAATACTGTTTGAAGCTATCAATCGGACCCCACAATTAATAATTTGTATTTTCATGTTTAGTTAGGATTACAGCTCAGAATTCACAATGTAGTATGACCAATATTGTGACTACTCTGTTATACTCCAATCACTCATTCAATCATTTGGTTATTCAAAAAGAGAGTAACTTACATATTATTTATCTGTTTCTCCTTACAGTGTTTGGTCGCATCGAACATGACGTATTACATGTCATATTCTTTGGTGACAATGGTCGCCGTGGATGGATAGTGGACAACATGCTTAGAAAGTTTTTGGGACAGCTCGAATTTGAGACTACAAGGGAAAAGTTCACATCTGAGGTTTACTTTGTTTAATAATTTATCAGTTTGTTATACCTTAATATGCAGAATATTTATTATTAATTTTGAGTGATATTATTTTTTTCGTAATAAGTAAGGTGTAGATAAAAAGGTGGTTAAACTTAACTTCACATTTGAGTGGCATTTTGTACTAATTTTGGGATTTCAGTATTTCATAAATGTTTTAATGGTCCTTATTGCTCAAACGAAATTAAATATTACATAGAATATATTTTAATAATTAATATTATATCATTGCTATATGCAACATGTATCAAAAACCCTGTGGTTCCCGTTAAGTGCATTATCAGTGACTCTGATTCAAATGTAAAGATCTAACTTTTTTCAAAAAACTTGAACATTAAAAAAATATTTTAATGTACAAAATATAATTTGCGACTTGTATGTCGTTTTATTACCTCTGCATTATCTGGAGATTAAGAGAATTGTGAAAGACCCCCCCTTCACCGATGCTCGTGTCAGTTAGAGGTAATAAAACCGCATAAAATTTGCAAATTATTTTTTTAAATTAAAATATTGTTTTTTATACTCAAGTTTCTTGAAAAAAAGTTATTTAAATAAAACTAATATTTTATGGATTTTATCGCGTATATTAACTTATTTTATATTCCCGTCGTTCAGTCCCCCCTGTGACCATGGGTGCTTTAAAGTGCTCGAAACGTCGGGAATATAAAATAAGTTAATACACGAGACAATATCCGTAAAATTAGTTTTATTTAAATGTTTAGTGTTCGTGTAAATATAAAAAATGAAAAAGTTATTACTTTACGTTTGAATACTGACTCCGATAACGCACTTAAAGATAACCACAGGGTTTTGTTACACATTTATACTTGTAACTTTTTACTATTATGTACCACTTTCAAATAGGTTTATGTCACATATCAAAAACTATTTTATTATTGTAAATTTAATTATTGTATTTAGAAAAATGCAGTATGTATTTTTAATATTGTACTATCTCCAAACTATATGGATTTTTTTTTATTTGAATGATGTAATAATAAAATGGTTTTATTTTACATTTACAGGCAAAGAAACGTGATCCAAGACTATATGCAGCCTTCTTTATATCAGAGAAGAAACTACCACAATGGACCATATCAGTGGAAGAAGCTGAATCATTGCTGCGTGAACCAAAAAGACTTCGTATTGATATTTTACATGACATGCTTGAAAAGTCTAGAGCATTTAAAACAACTCCAAAAATAGAAAAAAGCAAAAAAGTAACTAGAACAAACAGTGATGTCTCTTTAAGTGAGAGTTTGTATGACACTTTGTTTTCTGAAGATGATTGTAAAAATAATGACAGTGAACGGTCTAAAAGTAAAACCAGGAACAAGTCCTTAGATGTGTCAGAAGTTGTGACTGCATGTCTTGACAACATGGCTGCAAAAACTGGTATAACTAAAATTCAAAAGCAATCTCATATGGATCGGTGGCTACAAAAGGCAAAGTCTAAAACACCTGAGAAATCGTTTTTTAAAGTACAAGCTGTACAAAAGACTGACAAAGAATCAAAATCCATTAATGTCAAACATAGAAGATCAACATCTAAAGAAACTCAATCAAAAAAATCACTGAGTCTAAAAAGAAGTGGAAAAGAATCTCAAGACGAAATTGAAAGCAAACTGCTATCGCATCAGAATGAACATGACTATAGCAAGCAAAATGATCAAGAGTTAAGTGAAAGCCCTGTCGTAGATGAAATAAGTCATGTCAATGCTAATGATTTAGATCAAAGTGTAAATTTAGAAGAAATAAGTTCAGGTATAGGTTTTATAGCAAAGGTTGAAAGTCTCTCCGGTAACATAGGTGAGGAAAAAAAGTGTAATGAACAAAATGATGTATCCATGACAATTGTAAATGAAGAATTTGTTGTCAGGGAGAATATTCATGAAGATGAATTTATAGAAACTTATTCAAATAAAACAAAGACTGAACTAAATGACACTGGACCAATGCAAATAGACATGTATGATTCAAATGTAGACGAAAATTGTTTACCGACAGAAAAGGAAAACTCATTTACTATTAGTAATTCAGACAATTTAAGAAAAGTTGTAAATGAAGTACCTATAGGTAGAAATGATGAAGTGGTTATGAATAATACCGCTTTACAAAATATTGAAGAAAATACTATTGATAAAATGGTAGTTGTTAAAGAATGTGAAAAGGTTGAAGAGAGTGAAAATATACCTGGTTTAATAGAAAAAAGTGGTGAAAGTAAAATACAAAATACAGAAACACCAACTATTGAAAATGATCATTTACCAGATGTTATTGGCGAAACTAAGAGTAAAAATCTAGAGGACGAAAACGACGATATCCAATTAACTGAAGGCAGTGAAGGTCATGATTCTATAAAACATAGTTTACATATTAGTAAATCAGAAGAAGAACAAAGCACAGACATACTAAGAGAGTCTGCTGAATATTGTATAGAAAAAGTTCAAGTATTAAAATCTGATAGTAAATCATACAGTTCTAATCTAGATGACTCAGTTAATGAAATCGAATCAAACGAAAAAGTAGAAAATGATTTGTCAGACATAACCAAAGAAGACGTAGAAAAATCTAATCCAATTGTTTATAGTACAAATGAAATAGAAGGGAATATAAAAACTGTAAATCATAATTTAATATCCAATGAAGAATCAGTTAAACATTTTAATCAAGAAAATGAAGATTGTGTTTTAATAAATAAAGGTAAAGAAAGTGCTATTGTAGAAACACCTACATCTACAGATCATGAAAATAATATCAGCTTAGTTAATAACTCTAATTATAATGAAAGCAAAGATATCGAACCAGTGGGTACAATGCCTATTAATGAAAATGTACCACCTGAAAATTTCAAAGAGAAATGTATTATTAATAATATTGAGAAATTGGATGTAGTTGACAAAGACTATATGCATACAGAATATGCGTACAAGTCATTAAATAATAATGATGAAAATGGTTTTGGGATTGACGAAATAAAAAGAAATAATAATGCAAAAGAAATTCTTCAGATTAATTGCCTACCAGATCATTTGGAAGAAGTTTCTCAAATAAAGCACTTACCTAATAACACAGGTGGGGGTGAAAAAACTTCAGGGAATGGAGATTATAAACCTAAAGAAGGAAAGGAGAAGCACTCTTGTGTATACAAGAGTGCTATTGATGAGAGTTACAGCTTGGAAAATAATGATGAAGAAAAGATTTCAGACAAACCTTGCCATAGAAATTCAGATGCAGAAATTCAATCTGCAGATTTAATTAATACTAAAGAATTATTAAACTCCAATGATCCTGAGATCGAGTTAAAATCTGTCAATAATATTAACACAAAAGATAATTCTGATCAAAAAAATATTGATATAAATTCAGGAAGTGAAGTGTGTAGTGAAGTATCTCAAGGCAAACGAAAACTTCGCACAAAACTCGATAGATATGTTGATAAAATGTCAGACAAATCTGTAAAACGAGAACAAGAAGATCCTGAGTTTTTAAAATACTTGGAGCTGCGACAAGACGCTTTAATTGATGAAAACCCTCAGCTAACTCAGGAGGAAATAACAAATTACTTGTACAAAACCTGGCTATATGAAGAAAGCGTGAAATCTGATAGGAAGAGAACTGATGATATTGAACAGGCGACCTTAGTAAAAGGCTTGAATCAGGAACCAATACAACCGAAAAAAGTTAGGAAAAAAGCGAAAGTTGAAAAGGAATCAAATGATACCGAGGATTTTCTTCCTAAATCAAAATCAAAACGAAAGACTTTAAGGCCGCACTACAGCGAAGAGCAGTCGGATATAGAGAATGAAATAGAACTGTTTGAAATATTTAAAAATAAATCCAATGCTCCTCTTAAATCAAATACACCTTGCGTCGAAAATGAATCTGTAAGCACTGAGACTCTTGATAACGCAGAACCATTCAATGGTGATGAATTTGACCAAGTGGAGGAATATTTTCAACAACTCACTAGACCAAAGCCAAATTTATTCAAAGGCTTATTAAGAGAAAAGGTATGCGAAGTGTGTGAGAAAATAGGCAACCTTGTTAAATGTAAAGGATGCAATGCCACGTTCCATATAGAGTGTACTAAAAAAGAAACGGAAATAATTATAGAATCACAATTACCGACAAGAGGAAGAAAGAAAAAAAAGCGAAACAGAGGTCGTAAGCAGAAGACGTCAGAAGACTCCAACAGTTTAGATCAGGGTAGTCAAAGCGATGACAAATCTCAGGATGTTTCTGAAGAAAATCTAAATGTATCAATGGAGGATATTGAATCCGAATCTCATATAGTTGTAGACGCGGAAAACTTAGAAGCTAAATTATGTGCCAAAATGAAAGAAATGTTTGATACATTAGAAAACCAGTATTGCATGGATTCAAGTGAAAATGAACTCGATTGGAGCGACACTGAAGTAGGTAAATGTAAAATAATTGATATAGACCCACCATTAAAGAGTAGGAGCTCGGATACGACACACAATACTGATTTTAAATGCAATAACTGTCAAGAATACAGCATACCCGTGTGCTTTGTTTGTAAATCTGCTACATCGCCGAAAGAAGGCATTGAGTATAGACAGAGATGTCAGGTAGCCCATTGTAATAGGTACTACCATTTGGAATGTTTAGATCACTGGCCTCAAACTCAATTCCATTCTGGGGAATCTTCTAGCAATAGTAAGAAGATAAAAGGATATTTTGAACCAATGTCATGTCCGAGACATGTGTGCCATACTTGCGTTTCTGATGACCCCAGAGGTTGTAAAACTAGGTTTAGTGGTGATAAACTCGCCTGTTGTGTTCGATGTCCAGCCACTTATCACTCATTCACCAAATGCCTTCCAGCTGGCACTCAGATTTTGACTGGATCACACATAATCTGTCCAAGACATTATGAGCATAATAGGTAAGTTATAAGAAAATAGAATAAAGTTTATATAAAATAGATACTTGCTGTGTAGTGGCGGCTTAAAAGAGTTTACTATCATCTCCTGGAAAATGCTTTCTACAATGAGAGTTTGAACAGGCAGATGACAGAAACAACTATTCATTCTCTACAGGCTATTGTTTTAAACGTTTCGTATATTAATGCACAAAATATTCCCAGCCTCTTTTTTGAGCTAGAAGCATGATTCTCCAATAATTCAGCTTAGTTTCAAAAACATGGCTGAAACTGTATTTACATTCGGCATTGTATCTTCTTCCTGGGTTTGTGCTGATTAGGAATGAACGCATACGTAAAGGAGGTGGAGTTGCAATATATATCAATATTCAATTTCTTACAAAATATTACTCTGTTTAACTGTCAGTTTTTTACACATATGGGATAATAATTACGGGGTAGAGAATTATCTCACGCCACCACTACATTGATTTATTTTTACCTTACAATCATCGATCACTAATAAAAATCTAGATACAACAATCAGTGACAAAAAATGTCCTTACCGAATGAGCGCCCACTCGAACATTTGGGTGCGCTTTTAATTTGTACGTATCTTGTGAATACAACTTTAGGCAATGCATTTAAGGTTGAATTTACATTAGTGTATATTTATTTCAACTAGAATTACGTCAAAACAACTGGCGACTGTTTTTAGAGAACTTACATGGGATAGTGTATTTAGTTTTTTATTAGTGATCAATGCATACAATGCATATTTTAATTTTTTATTTGTTTTGTTTCAACAACATATGAGTAATTACAATGCAAGGAAAAATCACGTTTAAATTATAATTTCTTTCACAGACCGGGGAAAGTACCGTGTCACGTAAACACAGGCTGGTGTTTCATTTGTGCCCTAGGCGGATCCCTGATTTGTTGCGAATACTGCCCTACTTCATTTCATGCTGAGTGCCTTAATATTAAGCCTCCGGAAGGTTAGTGTAAAATATTGACCATGTATTTTTTTAAACATTATTATAAAGACAGAGTACACTATATGTGGTATTTTATACGTTGTAAAGCCATGTTGCAGCTATATTAGTAGTATAGTTGTAGCACGAATGGGTCGGCTCGACCGAGGTAGGACCACGCTCTCACAGAATACCAGCGTAAAATAGCAGCTTAATACTGCTGTGTTTCGTATGGTGAAGGTAGAGAACCGGATACCCTTTTTACTGGAAAAGAGGCATTCTATCTTAGTACTCATGGGTGACAACGCATCTGCATTTTGATTCGCAAACGAGGATAGATGTAGATGTCTATGGGCCACAGCAACCACTTACCATCAGGTAAAATGTGTGCTCGTTTTCCCTTTCAGAACCTTTCACCTGATGGTGAATAGATGACCTCTGAGGACTAAGATGGAATGATTGTTTTCAGTAAAAAGTGTCTCCGGTTCTCTACACTCACTATATGAATTAATAACAGTGTGAACATGGTCTTTCCCCAGTTGAGCTGATCCATTTGTGCTACAACCATAAAATAGCTGCAGTGTTGCTCCACCACATGTAAATACATTTCTTTGTTTGGCAACTTTGTGGTTATGCTAGTCCAACTATGGTTTCTCGTCTTTGTACAGCTTATGCAAGCTGTAAGCTGACAAAGGTGACTCCTGTTGTGGTATGAGATTCTTGAATATGAATCAAAGGCTGTGAGCTGATTTTAACAAATTTAAGCCATGACTTTATACATGAGTAATTAAGCCATTAGTGAGACTTGGCATGAGTCCCAAGATCCACTCTATTTAATTGATATAACTGTTTTCTACCATTTCAATTACATTTTTAATTCATTTTTCAGGTGGCTACATGTGTGAGGACTGTGAAACTGGTCGTCTACCGCTTTATGGTGAAATGGTGTGGGTGAAACTTGGTCATTATAGGTGAGTTACATATCATAGGATAAAATTTGAGTAAAGAGTAGATGTACATCTACAGTGACATGTTGTTTAGTCTAAAAGAGCCATGGTGGCTCTGATGCTAAGCCCTTGCTGTAAATTTCAAAGTACGCGAGCAACCCGAGTCTGATCCCCGCAGGTATTAATTTTATTTTTATTTATTTGCTTCTCAAGGGAAACATACAGTACTATAAACAATTACATTATATACTATATAAAAGTAATCCTAAAACGAATGAAGTTTCCACAGATATCTAATACTTACATAGTAAAAGCTTGGTGGCAAGTATAATTAAAATTTTAAATATAAAAATATAATAGAAGAAAAATAATGGTGGTCCCATTATTTTAGTCTATTATTTAGTACTAGTCGATGTAGATGCGAAAATAGGGTCTGCAATCTCCTTAAGTATACAAGGACTACTAAAATAGCATAGTAAAGAGTAGCGTTTGTACCGGATTGTACCGCCACTAGAACTGAAAAAAAAATGCCATCAAAAACATAACTTGTAAAAAAAACCAAGTCTCGCAACTCAGTTCTTCTACCGTAAAAAGTTGTGAGATCCATGTAATACTAAGTCGGCTAATTTATTCAGTCTCTAATCAAGGGTCCTTCTGTCTTAAGTTATTACGTAATTAGCTAACCAAACAACATCTTATAGTGACCACATCAATATTAAAAAATCTTTTATATTTTAAATAAATAGATTGACTTATCCATCGCATGAAAACATAATGTATCTCTCAAGTAATACATATATTAAATTAGATTGTTTAGTGCGATTGCCAAGTCAATTTATATTTATATATATAGTACTCAGTGGTACACACGGTACTAACGATAAAAAACCGTTGCACATACGCCAGATCTCTTAAAATAACGTAATTACATTGAAAATATATTCCCGATGAGTGTTTTCTGTCCGTTTCTTGGAGGTACAAATAGGTTACTCGGCGGTACAAACGAAAAACTCGGTGGTACAAACCATACAAATGTAGTACTCAGCGGTACTAACCGTACAAACGGGTACAATTGAACGATGAGCCCGACTCACCAAAGTCTATTATATCTTGAAACTGCTGATGGGGCTGAAAAATACATGTCTTATCGGTATTTCTCACAGTAGAATTGAAGTACAAACAATATACTCGGCGGTACAAACGATGAGAAACCATCTAGTGGGGAGCAACCTTAATTCATTGGTTGTCAGTTCTTTGAGCCATATGGCTGGCCCATTGCGATTTCAGCTTACTGATCTATTAGGTTATGTCGGTTATTCTGGTTCTACTATGGATCCTCATTACGATTCTATCAGGTATACAATGTCATGGGTTGCTAATGTACTATTAAATTTGAGCAAGCAGTTCTATCACAGTTCTAATTGAGCCGTCACGTCTATTTGCTAATGTACTTATGATTTACTAATATCCGTTTTTGTTTCAGATGGTGGCCAGGAATAATTCTACATCCATCAGAAATACCCGCTAACATACTAGCAGTTAAACATTCACCCGGCGAGTTTGTGGTTCGGTTCTTCGGTCAATATGATCACTACTGGGTCAACAGGGGTCGCGTCTTCCCATTTCAGGAAGGTGAGTGAGCATTGTTGTGGTTTTTGAGACTGAATGTTTTATTTAGTTTTTAAAGATCTAATTTCTCATAAACTTACCGTGTAATGGTTTCTGTTTTGTGTCGCTATTATTAGTGTAATAATCTAATAATAGCGACACAAAACAGAAACTGGAAAGACTGTTCAGTCTTGATTATTACATTAATAATAGCATTTTTGTAACAAATAACATATTACCAATAGCCAAAGATCACGGTTATAGGTGACATTTAGCAGCGTAGCATTGTCTGTGAAGTTACTTTGTGGACAGGGCTGAGAGCATGGCAAACGCTCCACAAAGTAACTTATTACAACTATAACAGGTGCTAACATCCAGTGTTGCCACCTTAATACACTTGATTACACCCAAAGTACAATAACCAAACAGTTTCTTTCCATAGGTGTTAAAAGAGACAACATACTTCAATATCTGGTGGTACACTACCTTTTATTTGCCAAATGCAAATACACAGGCCAAAAACAAGCTATGTCAATGATCGAGACATCAGATCTATAAATATGGAATTCATCTGCCATGCGTGACAATTAATACAAATCTTGCCATGGGCTGTTTTTCGCAACTCCTCGTTTGAAGTGTCATTGTGATTGGAAATAAACGATTTTGCGTGTATTTTGGGTAAGAATATAGTAGACTATGTACATAGTAGAGCCACGCTTCAGCTATATTGTGGTTGAAGTACGATTTTTTTTTATAGACTCAGGGTGACAAAAGGGCACACAGTCCATGTTATTTGTAACTTTATATATATTAATAGAAAATGAACAGTCTTGATTATTATAAAAAGGGTCTCCGATTCTCTACACTCACCATACAAAACACGGAAGTGTTAAGCTACTATTTTACGCTGGTATTCTGTGAGAGCATGGTCCTTCTCCGGTCAAGCTGAGCTATTCGTGCTACAACTATACTACTAATATAGCTGCAACATGGCTGTACCATGTATAATCATCTCTACCATCGAATTGTGTATTGTGTTTGTAGGTGATTCCGGTAAAGTGTCGAGTCAGAAGTCAAAAATAGATGCGGCGTTTTCAATGGCAATGGAGCACGCACAGAGGGCGTGTGAGATATTAAAAAGTGAGTATAAGGAATTTTTTTTTATTTTAAGTATATGTTTTTACATTCTTCCCACTAGACACTACATGTAGTGATGCAGGTAGTCCATGAATTCGTTTTATGATAATTATTTTTTATTAAAAAGAAACATTATCCCCCTAGGGTAAGGGACTTCTTTTGTTAGAAGTAGTCTTCTGAAATCATAGTTTAATTCCGAAACTGATAATATATCACTTTTTGCAATTACAGAAAAAAGTATATAGGAAAAGCAAATAGGTTAATACACACACACATTCTTTATTTACCTTTACCTACTTTAATACGAACAATTATGGTACTAGAAATATGTGAATCAACTCAGAGTGTGGGGCTCGGAACATCGTAACACATGCTAAGTACAAGTTCCGCTCTCTCACAATGGTCATAAGTTGCAATAATTATATCATAGAACTAAGACAATAAACTAAGCATGCTTTAATTTTATGTACCATTTTTATTGGAAATAAACGATTTTTACTATTATAAATAGGTTGATGTATTTTATTGTGATGTATTGCCACAGTAAAGCATTAAACTTATCATCTATATATTACAGCTCATAAAATTCCATTGCTGTACATAGGCCTCCCCATATTGCTTTGGGTTGCCACACTTGACACAAAAGAACAGACAGAAACATAATAAAATATCATAACATATATAACATGTAACAACATGTTCCCATCCAATTTTCCCCAAACGTAAATTTTCAACGTTAGAAGAAGAGCCGTGGTAGCTCAGTGGGCTTAGTGCTTGCTGTAAATTTTACAGTACGCGAGAAACCCGGGTTCGATCACCGCCGGTACCTATGAAATTGCAAATTGAAATTTTAAGTGCTGATTTAACACATGCTCGGCGGTGAAGGAAAACATCGTGAGGAAATCTGAAAGTCTGAGAAATAAAAAGAAAATATTTCGAATACATGTGAAGTTCGCCAACACGTATTTGGGCAGCGCGGCGGATATATCCTTGCCCTAAAACCCTCCAAAGTGCGAGGAGGCTTGTGCCCCAATGGGACATATATTGGCTGTAATTTTAACTTTCTTAACTTCCACCTTAGAAGTATTATATTATCCCAAATTCACACATTATAATATTATGTTATTTATTCTATCTATTGTAGCCTATAAAAGTTCTCTACATTGGCCTCCCCCATAGATTGCCTCCACACCACTGGGACTGACACCTACGGGACGGTATGGGATAGTAGATATTCTTACACCGACACGACACGGCATTACTAGTACATAGTAGTAATAAGATGAAATTGTGCCTTAACTTTGCAATAAATATGACTAAAAATATCTTGACATTTTCAGATGCGTCTATAAATGATGAGGAGTCAATAGATATCGCCTCCTCCCTGCTGCCTCCACATTATGTTAAATTGAAAGTGAACAAGCCATGTGGATCTCTTTGTGGAAAACGGGTGGATATAGAAGAGAGCTCCCTCACACAGTGTGAATGTAATCCGGATGAGGAAGACCCTTGTGGGCTGTATTCACAGTGTTTAAATAGGTATTTTACTTTGTTTACATTATGGTTTTTTTTATAGAAAAGATGACAAACGCACACACAGTCCACCTTATGATAACTGGATACTGTGGCCCATAGATCTACATCTATTCTCTGTTAAGAATCAAAATGTAGATGCGTTGTCACCCCTGAGGACTAAGATGAAATGCCTCATTTTCAGTAGAAAAGGTCACCAGTTCTCTACACTTACCATACGATACACAGCAGCATTATGCTGCTATTTTACGCTGGTATTCTGTGAGAGCTTGGTCCTTCCCAGGTCAAACTGACCTATTCGTGCTACACATAATATAGGCTGCAGCATGGCTCTACCCGTGAGCTACCACAGACCTTTTAAATTATTTATATCTTAAATAAATTTTATTATTTTCTTCTAGAATGCTTCTAACAGAATGCGGACCATCCTGCCGGGCAGGGGACCGCTGTAACAATCGGGCGTTCGAGAAACGTCTTTACCCCAAGCTAGTACCGTACAGAACGCCACACAGAGGCTGGGGGCTGAAAACTCTTGAGGATATAAAAGCAGGTGATTTTATTAACACAATAATCATGTACTGGCCAGTGTGTCGAAGCTGTATGCCGAAGTAGCTTGGTTTAATTATTTAGTTAAACTAGTTAGTTAATCACAAAGGTTTCCGTCATAGTTGTGCAGACGTGGTTGCTTATTGACACATTAATTTATGTGACTGTCACATGACTATATTGAGATCACTGAGATCTTAGATGTTATTTTTTATTTGAAAAATGTTACTTCCACACTAGGATTTTGTCCTGTATCGTGGAGGCAGTTTGCAAACATAAATTGCACAAGGACAAACATCCAGACCTAGAACAATTATTTATAGGCCATACACATATATGTTCCGTGCGGGATTCGATCCGCGGCCCCCTGTTGCTAAGCCACTCCGCCATGTATATTCACTTTCATTTTTATAGTTTTCTGTTTGTAAAAATTATTGTTAAAACTCAACTAAACCTGCTAACTCAGCAGTGCTAACCTGCCACTATTAAGCAGGTTTCATTTATTTTTATTTATTTAGTTATTTACACTTTATTGTTTACATGTTAACAAAAGAGGTAACTCTTTTGTTAAAGTGTATAAAGGGCCTTAATGCTTTTAGGCATTCCCTCTCAGCCAACCCTGGGCATTGTGAGATAATGTAATAATAGGTGCATTTTGTGTAAATTTCTTTGAAAATTAAAATATATAGAACACAATAGTAGTCATTCAATTAAATAAAAAAAATCATCAAGTTGTCACTCCTTCCAGCAAGGACCACCCAACACAGTGCTTGCCAGTAAGATGCCACTTGAGAACCTTTCTTTCCCATTAATTGTCAGTATTTCAAGCTGTATTAAGAGTTTTATTACTCCGAGAAACTTCAAGTATTACCCCTATATGTTATTGGGTAATACTTGCATATATATTGCATATTCTGTAATCAGTAAAAATTTTGAATTGTCCCTTTTCCTATCCAGCCCCAAAATGATACATTAATTACTTAAATTAATTAATAAAATACACATTAGTTAATAAAATATACAATATTTAACCTGCTCAAAGTTCAAAAACTTTCTTAAACAAAGTTTGTATAAAAAGGTTATTATAATATTAAGGAATTTATGGATGATAATAATCCTTGGGAATGAAGTGACTGGAGTGGAGTGAATCGCTACCAAGCTATTTCTAATTTGTTTTGTGTGGTTAATTGTGATTACATGATTGTAAGCTGTTATTTTAAAAAAATGTCCCACTGGGTTTCTTGCTGGTTCTTCACAGGACAGAGATTTTTTCCGAACCAGTGGTAGTTAAACAAAAGAGTGACTATCAATAAGTATTATTTATAATCTATGTTGAATAAAAAGTTTCTGTTCTTCTCTGTTCTGTTCTTATAAGATCAGGCACTACTTGGCCGAAATCTATTATATTAAGGATTTTAAAAATAAATTTCAAAAATCCACGTAATAAAATAAAATAATGTCTTACCTACCTAGTTTGAAGAAAATCACCCGCCCTCCCTCAATTGCGTGTACTATCCCCATCACCATTTCTCCCAACACCACTACACTAGAAAAAACACACCATAGTCAGTCACACATAATACGACACGAGTTTCGTCCCATCAATAATTTTATTTTATTTCGCGATACTTAGTTTTTTTTAAATATAGGATGAGTGTGACAAACGAGCACAAAGTCCATTTGATGGCGAGTGGTTGCTGTGGCCCATTGAATTGAATTAAATAAACGGGCTGTTTTCCGCAACTCCACGTCTAAGCGCGTATTTTGCGTGTGGGCAGGAATAATGTATTTATTCGAGCCATGAAATCTCCCTGAAGAAGTTCTTTGATGTTACAAACACCTTCAGGGAGTGATCCCGGTGTGCCAAGATGTTTAGCCCTGTATACAGTGACTTACGGACACGTCAGCAACATGTGGGCCGCCGTTTCTCCCTCCAGCCATACATGCCCTGCACAGGTGACTGTCCGTAACACCTATGGTAAATTAATGTTTGTTAAAGTTACTGTGTCCTGTGATAGCACTTGTTACTATACTGATCTGCTGTGGTATGTGTACCACGTAAATATTATTAGTAGCTAATTATTTTTTAACATGTTTAATATTAATTGCTGTTCCGCCTGATACTAAACCGTCACAGTTATGAACTATTTATCCATATTTTGAAATTACATAATATTGTCATAAGATATTCTAAAACGCATTGTTATTACAGGTCAATTTGTGATAGAATATGTTGGTGAACTTATCGATGAAGAAGAATTCAAAAGACGCATGGTAAGGAAGCACGAGATACGGGATGAGAATTATTATTTCCTCACGCTCGACAAGGAGAGAATGATTGATGCTGGACCAAAGGGCAACCTGGCTAGGTGAGTTTACTAGAGGTATATCATTTTAGTTATAGCCGTAGATATAATAATAAATAATAATAATATAGCCATTTATTTCCGAACTTTGGGGTTGTATATTATTATATTGAGTTCTTACTGTAGGAATAGCTAAAGTAAGTCGCCCAGTTCGGTGTGCCTTTTGGCATAAGCCTCCTCCAACTGCTTCCATTGGACTCGTCTGCTGCTATCCTTGTCCAGTATGGTCCCAAGGTCAAGCGGATATCATCTTCCCATCTTCTGGCTGGGTGACCCTGTTTTCTGACGCCATCTTTTGACTACCATAGGGTTACCTGCTTGCTCCATTTGTTGGTCTTGCAACGAATCATGGGATCTGTCCAAGCCCACTTCAGATGCTCAATTCGGGTCAGAATGTCGGCAACCTTGGTTCCTTTTTTCCTATATTCTATAATTAACAACAAGCCGCAGATATAATTCTTCTGAAAACTATTGAAAGCTATGGGCTAAAGACATCGCTAATAGTTGTTTAGTGCGAATAATCGGTTTGCTATTATTCTGTATTCTCTGTGAATAGCAAAATTATTCACCAAAATTATTCTACTACATAAATATTATAACATATTCATTATTCACTATATGGTACTTAATTAGTAATTCATAACAATAACATGCTTCTACGACACATCTTCTCGTCGCGTATAACTCTTGTGAGGCTCTCTCTCGAAACTCTTTTGAGGCGGGTTTACGAGGGGGGGCTGAGGTGTTTGATGTCCCAATGTCATAGTTAACCATGGCTACCTCCAGATTAAAATTATTAATTTTTGGTCCAATCTACGCAGTGTGAACTTAGAGTATCTTGAAGTCTTGCAGTTGTATGCTTGGGTTGAGATTTAACAGACAAATCTTTGTTTGCATAGTTTCAATTAAAATAAAAAAATGGTTAAATTTCAAGTTTGCGATTTGGATGCTAAACGATGTACGTCGATAAAATGTCAATTGGGATTTTCAACCGACTTCAAAAAAAAAGTAGAGGTTCTCAATTTGACTGTAGTTTTTTATGTGTTCCTCAGGACTTTTTTCGAAGTGAACCGATTTTGATGATTTTTTTTTAATTTGAAAACTGGTGCTTCTCATGTGGTCCCATGTAAATTTGATCAAGATCTGACCAATAGTTTTTGAGTTATTCTAAATAATGCGTATTTAATTGACTCAGATTACATTGATGATGTTCTCATTTTATTTATATTGAAGTCGGTTGTACAAAATTTTTAATTTTACCACTTGTATTTTCTCTTATTGATGTTGGTATAAACATCTTGTATAATACGAGGGCGGCACTGAAAATTTCGGGAATCAAGGAAGTGACACAACATTACTATTTAAAAATGTATTTATTGCTTTTCGAAGTATTCTCCGCGAAATTTGACACATTTTTCCATACGATGGAACCAATCATTGAAGCAACCATTCCGTTCGGAAGTTGGCGTCTCCAAAATGGCCGTTTTGTAGGCGTCCACAGCTTCTTCAGGTGATGAAAATCTCTGTCCACGCAATTTATTCTTTATTTTAGGGAAAGTATAGAAATCATTAGGGCTTAGGTGGGGGCTGTACAGCGGATGGTCTAATAATTCTATGTTTTCTTGCTCTAAAAACTCTTTTGTTCTGTGTGTGGTGTGAGAACTCGCATTGTCATGATGGAGGATGATGCGGCGGTTGCAGTTCTCTTTACGGAGTTCAGAAACGACCTGTGGCAAACAAATGCTAGCATACCATTCTGCATTAACCGTTCTTAGCCCCTCAAGAGGAATAGTCGTAACATGGCCGGTTTTAGAGACAAACGTGGCCACCATTTTTTTTGCAACACTCCGTGAACGAACAATTTTTGTTGACTTTAACTCATTTTCGAACACCCAAATTCATGACTGGTTTTTTGTTTTGGGTTCGTTCCAGGATTCGTCACCTGATACGATGTTGTATACAGCATTTGAGGAACCTGCGTGGAATCTTTCGAGAGTTCTGACGCACCAAGTAACGCGAGCCGCTTTTTGCTCTTCACAGAGCGAATGCGGTATCCATCCGGAAAATAACTTTTTTACACCTAATTGTTCATGCAAGATTATTTGTATTTGACTCATGCCAATGTCTAAAGTTGCCTGAATTTCGCGGTATGTCACATGTCCATCTTCCTCAATCAGCTTACGCACAGCATCAACGTTTTCTTGGGTGACTGCAGTTTTTGGACGACCTTGACGGGGATCATCACTGAGCTTCACACGTCCACGTTGAAATTCAGCAAACCAGCGATAAATTGTGTTTCTGGATGGGGCTTCATCACCAAATGCAGAAATCATCCGGTCAACACACTATTTTGTGTTAAACCACTTCGAAAGACATAAAAAATCATCGCTCTTGAATTTTCTCGAGTCAATTCCATTTTCTCAATGACTAAACAAGTTTGACAAAACCTTGTGACAAGACCGAGAATCTTTTTTTAAATAAATAATTGGTTTTCAATTTTAAAAACCAAGGACTTTTCAATTAAAAAGATTTTAATATGACAGGAACAGTGGAAATATTCCATTCCCGATACTTTTAGTGCAGCCTATGTATAAGCCAGATATACAGAATAGTGACAAGGTATATACGATATTGAAACTTTCCAAACAGTCCTCAAAACTATGTGATAATCGTCAATTAGTTTATGGGATAGCCTACGTCCAGTTGTGTACTTGTTAATGAATGATCTGATGATGATATAATATGAAATTAAGATTTGTTAGCCTGCCCCTTAAATTTTCATATATTGGGAGCTAAAGGTCAAGTGTATTGATTGTTCTAGTACAAGACCCGTGGCCTGAGTTTGAATTCAACCTGTTTCACTGTTGCATGAAATGCATGAAAATTACAATAAGGTCAGAATAATGCTAGTGAGATGTAGGGTTGTCAACTCTTGGTGATCTAGGATGGGAAAAAGATATAATTTTATGAAACTCTTGCAGTTCAGCTAAAATTTTACACTGTCTATTTTTGTAATTTTCACAATGTTACTTTTATAGGAAATAGTAAATTGGTTGTATTAGATCATCTTTAGATTTTCTATTCTTATAATAAAATAACTTTATATTTCACAAGCAGTTTTTGTATTAATGTGGTTTAAAATACATATTATATATAATATACATATAATATATAACCTAATCTAAACCTATTTTAGATATTAAATCGTCTTTATAATCAAACTGGATAAATTTTAGTATGCATGTGTGCAAACTTACTTTGCTTGTTAGACAACAAAGGGAATTAAAAGTTACTAAGTTCATCTATACAAATAAATAAAATTGAAGTGTCTGTTTGTAATGTCAAAATAATAGCTTTTTACTAATTGCATATGAAAGTATATACGGTTCTTATAACAAATACATAATTTTTCAAATTTTTGTAAGTCTGTCTGTTTGTTTGTTCCGGCTAATCTCCGAAACGGCTGGACCGATTTTGACGGGACATTCACTGCTAGATAGCTCATGTTATAAAGAGTAACCTAGGCTACTTATATTTTAGGAAAATAATTAGGATTCCGCGCAACAAAATTAAAACCCTAAATTACACGCGGGCGAAGTCGCGGGGAACAGCTAGTTTGTAATAATTTATAACACATGACAATTGTTTTCGTTTTAAATGATAAGTTGAAGTTGATGTTAACAAATCTCATTTATTATAACACAATCTGCATAAAAATTAATTTTCAAAAATTATTAATTAAAAATTATTAATTATGTGCGTGTGTAAATTCAATATTTTTCTCACATCCAGGCATTTTTACTTACTGAGTTGACAATCCTAATAAGATATTGCAGTTGGTACAGCAAGATTGCAAATTTCTGTGCTGAATATGTTCGATATCGGCCGGTGAAATGTACTGTAAGATTATAAATGATTAGCTACAGTTGCTATGGCTCCGCACGCGTTTATTTTAAGTGTAATTATTTATTTAAGTGTAGGGCCCTCCACTAGATGGAGCGATGACCTGGTAAGACATGCAGGCAGTTGATATATGCAGGTTACTCATGACAGTGCTTTGTGTCATTCCTTAAGGGAGGCCTATGTTAAGAAGTAGACTAGTGACTTGAAGCTGTATTGAAAATGATGATTTAATTATTTCTATTAAATTTAACTAATAGTTGCGGAACGCTACACTGCTGTACTTATGGGATTTGTTTGTTATTATTATCTGTAATATAGATGTGTATTGTTCAAACAAATAATGATAAAAATAAGAGCTATTTGTGGCCAAAACACTCACTACACTTACTTACTACATTTTTGTAAAATGAAATAAAAATGTTGATTTATTGGCTAATTTCGAACATGAGAGTTAACTTTAAAAATTATCAAAAATTCAAGTCGAAATACACACAAATGCATAGAAAGTTGTCGTCTTGTTGTATGTGACACTATGAGTGTAGAATGGGTCTACTTTACCAAGGTAGGACCAAACTTTGATACAATATAATTGTAAAATGTGTAATGCTGCCGTACATCGTATGGTGACGATGTGACGAGAATCGTGACGCCTTTTATTGGTAACGAACCATTTCGCCTTAGTCGGGTGACAACGTTTCTTTTTTTTATGTGAAAACGTAACCTCGATACCCTAGTGTGAAAATCCTAATTTTCTCCTGTATCGTGGGGGCAGTTCACATACATAAATTTCACAAGGACAAACATCTAGACCCAAAAATTATTTGTGGGCCATGTAAATATTTGATCCGTGCGGTATTCGAACTCGCGGCTCTTAGTGATGCAACTCATTGATAAGCCACTGCGCCACGGTGCCGTCGAATCTGGATTTTGATTCATAAATGACTTTTGATTCATAAGATTGAAGGCATACTAATATGCAATAATATCAGACATGGAGACAAACAACTCATCTAACCTGATTAACAATGATGGATAATATAGATCATAGAAGGGATTTTAAAACAATAAACGCAGAATTGATATTCCACTAGGACTATAAAATGAAATAGAAATCATAATATAGATTTATTGTTATTCCAGGTTCATGAATCATTGCTGCGAGCCCAACTGTGAGACTCAAAAGTGGACCGTATTGGGGGATGTTAGAGTGGGATTGTTTGCACTACGTGATATACCCGCTGTAAGTATATACCTACATTATAATATATCCCACGCATGAATATATTGTCATCCTTGAAGACCAAAGTGAAACGCCTTATACTGCTTGTTGTTATACTGGCCCAGCTCTCTACCTTGCTGTTCTCGGAATTTCTGCAGAATCGAAAAGCAAGGGCGAAACCTACTTAGACGATATATTAGGTGTTCGATCGGATAATGGTTCATTTCCACAATATATGTTGGCTCTGTTATATGATGTTCAATCAATCAACTCTTTATTCATTAACAATAAATTGTGTACGAATATCTCAGCAATGTTTTTATTATATTGCTCGAAGCCCTAATAATAATCATATCATATTTATATGTGGTAGAGCCATGCTGCAACTATATTAGTAGTTTAGTTGTAGCATGAATGGGTCAGCTCGACTGGGGAAGGACCACGCTCTCACAGAATACCCGCGTGAAATGGCAGCTTGACACTGCTGTGTTTCATATGGTGAATGTAGACATTTCATCCTCACGGGTGACATCTGCATTTTGATTCTTTATTGAGGATAAATGTAGATGTCTATGGGTCACAGCAACCACTTACCATCAGGTGGGCTGCGTGCTCGCTTGTCACCCTATCCTATATAAAAAAATCAAAATCAAAAAGATCTAATAACAATTGCTCAAAATAAATAAATAAAATAATCAAACAAAAAGTAGAATAAATTACCTAATAAATGTCATTGTATCTTTTATATCTATATAATTATTCTAGCTTTGTAACAATTAAAATTCATCACAAATGTTCAAAAATATAAATAATATTAAATAATCAAGAAAAATCGATTAAAAAAAACTAATAAATGGAATTTAAGTATTTTTATAGGAAGGGTCGTCGGAAAGGGCAGAACAACATCTGCCTGGCGAGCTAGTATATATATTAGTATTATAGAAGAGGGGGAAATGAGCATGCGGCTCACCTGATATTAAGTGACAACCGCTGCCCATGAACAACTGCAACGTCAGGGGAATTGATGGTGCGTTGCCGGCCTTTTAGAAAGCAGTAACTTGTTTTCTTGAAGGTCCCTAAGTCGTATCGGTCCGAAAAAATTGCCGGTGGTAAACGATTCCACTAAGATCCAGTACGAGGAAGAAAACTCCTAGTAAAACGTACATTGGTGGACCGCCGAGCGTCCAGATGGTGTGGATGGTAATGATAACTCATGAGAGTTTTGTCGCGATGTGCGTTCGCAAAATTCGGCGGCAGAGTTCGAAAAATTTCGCAGAATTAATCGGAACAATTATAGTAACAGTCATAGTATAGTTTTAACTTTTCTATTACAGAATAGTGAAGTGACATTCAACTACAACTTGCAATGCGCGGGCATCGAGAAGAAACGGTGTTTGTGTGGAGCGAAGAGATGTTCCGGATACATTGGAGCTAAGCCTAAGCAGGTAAAATTGTTATGTAATGGATTAAACTGTACACTAACCGTTTAATGGCGGTGTATGACTATCCACTACTTCATATTGTCCCGAAGTTTTCGTAAGAGGTGACAGAAGGAAAATGAAACGGGAGATGGGCAGCAGCATCTTCCTTATGACAACTCAAAATATAAAAAGTAGGGAATGTAAAATAAGTTAATAAAACGCGATAAAATTCTTAAAACTAGTTTTATTCAATGTGTACTGTTCACGTCAACATAACAAATCATTGTGTATTTGAGTTATAAGTATCTCGCAATGCTGATAATTTTGCAATAATAACTTGGTAAGAGCAGCAGCTCTAATATTATATACTTTCTCGATTCAGTTAGTCACTCTGAAGTACTGTAGAGGTGAACCTCTTATATAACTCTGATTTGGGAGTCGGTGTAAAATAGGCTGGAGTTATAATTATTTTGAAACTTCTAACATAAACATAAGCTCTAACGCTAAATTTCGAGGGCATCATACACTTTATGTGATCCACTTTGTCTGGACTAAATGAGCACAACCCACATGTCTCAAAGCTATTTCATGACGTGAATTTATTTCAATACGATAAAAGTGTTGCCAATATAGGCCCGCATCTGTCTGCCTGTTAACCAGAGGGATAGCCAGAGACTGTGGATTTCCATTTCGCACGATCCTGATTCATCTCTCTCGCTTCTATCACATCCATGCTGTATATGGAGAGGATCAGGCCTATAGGTGGAGAATGGTTGATGTCTAAACGTGGTAGATCCACACTGCAGCTACATTATGGTTGTAGTATGCATGGGTTGGCTCGGCCGGAGGAGGACCATGCTCTTACAGAATCACAGAATCTCACAGAACAGACAAGGGTAAATGTAGATATCTATAGCCTACTGCATCCACTTACCATCAGGTGGACTGTGTGCTTGTTTGTCACCCTTATTCTTTAAAAAAAATGTAATTAACTGTAATGGAATGTTACACGTCCAACAGTGGACTGTTTTGTGGTTGATAACATGAGAACAGATTTCTATGGTAGGATCTAATAACTTTCCTGACCTGTATAGTTATATTATGCCGTCTAGTGGCAGTATGAGTCCAACCCATATCATCCCATGGTTATTGTAAGAGGCAATAAAGGGAAATTAGATCTGATCTGTTTAAGTATACAAGTGCTGACAGATTAACAGCATTGTAGATTATCTGCAACACATGCTGAATCAGAGCCCCTTTGTTGTCCTTCATACATTATTATTTTGTATTAGTTTAACTTTTATATGCTTCGCTACTTTTGTTCAATGAATAAATATTTTATTTAAATATAACTAGTTTTTACGGACTTTATCGCGTCTATTAACTTTGATATACCACAAATCCTTGATTTGATAGACCACAAATCCTCGCTAAAGAACACCGATTACTTCGAAGGATGATTCGCGAGGCTATTGAAATCAAAAAACCATCCTAATTTCATTAGAGAAAATGGCTGGGTGCTATCATCTGTACCAATCCTATAATTAATAAAATTAAATCCCAACCTAAGTATACAACTGCAAGACTTCAAGATGCTTTAAGTTCATACTGCATAGATTGGAACAAAAATTAATAATTTTTATCTGGAGGTAGCCGTGGTTAACTATGACATTGGGACGTTGAACATTTCAGTCACCTCCGTGACCATGTGTGCTGTAAAGTACTCGAACATCGGGAATATAAAATAAGTTAATACGCGATAAAATCCGTAAAAACTAGTTTTATTTAAATGTGTAGTGTTCGCGAAAATATAAGAAATCATTAAAAAATTTATTATTATTTTGGGGTATTTATATTTTTATTATGTGTATTTTATATTATTATTATCTGTAGTGGTATTTTCCTGATGAAAACTAAAAACTGCGGTTGCCCACACGCCTGCCAATCATGGCAACTATTCCAAATATGTATCTCTACTACGAGGCATTCTACGGGGGAGGTTTACGTTCAGTAGGGTACTTTAGGCTGTAATGAATGAAACAATGACCTTTATTAATAAAAATAAATATATTACAGACCGATCCACAACCAAAGAAGAACAGAAAAGAGGTTCCCGTTAAACGCACGTACAAAAAACGCAAAAACATAGACCTGTCACCGGCTATAAGAAACAAGGCAGTTAAAAGTAAAGCCTCCCGCTCCAAGCCGAGGGAACTGACAGAGATAGAGAAGGATTTGTTGATCATAAAGAATGCTACAAACGGAATATCTAGCGACTCGGACTGCAGTGGGAGATTAAGTAGCATAGAGAGTAATAAAGAGACAAGAGCTCTCAAGAGACGGAGAGTTGATTTTTCAACGGAGGATGTCACATTATTAAATGGATTAAACTCTCCAACCACGAAAAGGTATAAAATGGACGAAAAGATTGAAGTTGGCGATTGAATACCGTTATAACACATTAAGCCAGCATATAAGCCAAAGATGGCCGTCCCTGTTAAAATTATGGCTAGCAAATATGGCTAAAAATTGGGATGCCAATTGGCCAAGAAGGTGCAGCTACCCATCTACTTCATTTGTATCTTTATTGTCTCTTACGACACGGAGAGAGAACGGGAGATGGATTTTAACTGTTACCGTTACTGTGATAATTTTCAAATACTTTTTAATTTTGACAACTGCACAGGAAATATTATAGTGCCCTAAATAAGCGTAAAGCGAAAGGTCTAGTGTTCTATTGAATCCGATTGATCTTATCGCAGTTGGATTCGGATGCAGCGTCAGTGACACAGTGGTCTAAGGGATAAAAATAACATTTGTTTTTAAACCAAAAACAAATTTTATTGGCTCCGTGGTGCAGTGGCTTAGCAATGAGTTGTTGCGCTGGGGGCCGCGGGTTCGAATCTCGCACCGAATAAGTAATTGTTCCGGGTCTGGATGTTTGTCCTCGTGCAATTTGTTTGTAAACTGCCTTCACGATACAGGAGAAAATTTTAGTGTAGGGGTAACGTTTTTGAAAAGAAAAAGAAAAAAGAAAAAGAAAAAGAGAATTGTTTATTCCGGTCGGGTTCGAACCCGCACCCATGGTAGTAGCCAGCTACACATACTACACATTGCAGTTTTTGGTATGCCTCAAGCCTTATTCGTATATAGCGAACGGTTTCCTGGGTGTTAATACTGCCATCTAGCGGTGACTAAAGTGCCTATGGAGGCACTAAAGAAGTGATCGAAGTTTTGTAAATGTAGTTTTTAGTATCGATCCACTCGAATAGTTTCTTTGACAGAATTATGGATTTTATTTACCGATTGTATATATTTTTAGTGTTATTTCGCTTGTTACATATCAATTCAAGCGTATGGACAAATAAAGCGTATTCATATATTTATTTGTGTTTTATTTTTGTTCTACCTTCAAAGCTATAACTTGAAGTAGGATAACGCTGCAGCAGTATTATGACTGTAGAATGAATGGCGCGGTCCAACCATGAAGCTAATACAAAGGGGAGACGGCATAAGCAACTGTGCACTGTGATTCTAAGTAGTTCCTGACGTCATCATAGTGGGCGTGGCTTTAGTTAGTATACTGTCAGCATTCGTCCTGTGCGCTTATGTGTTGAAAAAATCGCAAATCGGTGTATTTTCGTAGTATTAAGAACAAAAGGATGAAGTGTTGTGTTTTATCGTGTAAAAACTTCTCAGATAGACGCTCTGGTGCTATGGATGGCATCACATTTCATTTGTAAATAATTTTACACCTAATTTTACGCTTTCAAATATAATTAAATATATTCCACACTAGATGGCGGCATTTTGTGTCCTGTGAACTAAAAATATAATGGTACGTAGAGCTCAGTAATGATAAAATAATCATACGAAGGTGCTGAAATTTGTTTTGCATTCAGACATAAAGAAATTTTAATCGCCAAAATATTATTTTTATAGTTTATAACATTTTGTGGACATGCCATCATCTACCGTCAACGTAGCTAAGCTACATTGCAACATCGATATGGAAAGATTCGAGTAGTTTTACTATTTATCGGTAGATGTAGAGACTCTACATCTAGGGGATCTTCTGAGGGGATCCTCACCCCGCAAATTGTCACGCGTTGTTACATAGTGAAATTTAATTACAACGTCTCCTCTTTGTATTTGCTTCATGGGTTCAACTGTACAGGAATCAAATTTGCTCAGAATACCAGCGTAATGCTGGTAATGCTGAATACGAGACCCATTTTACTGGTAACGGCATACCACCTTAATCTTCAGGAGTGACAACGCATTCGGAATTTTGGTTTGTCAATGAGGGTAGTTGACTGTGTCAATGGGGCACAGCATCCTTTTATCATCAGTTGGCTTGTGTTCTCGTTTATCGTAGAAAAACATTAAACACGTCATAAACTTGTGTTAAAACTTTTTCTATATTTATTATGTTATTGGCTACATGGTTTTCAGCCAAGTTAAAACTAAACACTATGCAAACAGGATAAGAACAGGGTTTGATTTACTGACTACCTCTCTCATGTTAATTTTTAGAACCCACCGTCATTTTATGATTTTTAATTAGTTTTAACAGACCTGTCTCACTCCGCGCTTTAGGCATGAAAATATACCTGCGCTGCGCGGCCGCTTACTAGGGGCTAATTCCGTGAGGTTGTAATGCACGCGTGCGTTATGTTAACAAAAAAAGTATTTTTCACTCAACTATTTAGGCACTTGATATTTATTTTTGAGTTTTTATTCAAGTATGACCTTTGAATAAAACTCATTTTTTACGGATTTTATCGCGTTTAATTAACTTAATTTATATTCCCGACGTTTCGAGTTAACTCTGACATCGGGACGTCAGTCACCTCAGTCCCCCGTGACGATGGTTGCTGGAAAGCAACCGAAACGTCGGGAATATAAAGTAAGTTAATTAAACGCGATAAAATCCGTAAAAAAATAGTTTTATTCAATGTGTACTGTTCGCGTAAATATAAGAAATCATAAAGTATCCTCTCAAATAGCCAACAGGTAGTGCATAGCATACGGGTGCTTAAATAACAGTAAGGAATGTCGACTTTCTATTCTTTACTGTTCCTAAGGATACCGAAATATTATTTATAGGTGACCCGAGTACATCTTCGCAGTTTTCGATTTTTTCGCGTATAATGTCAATAACGTGTAGTGTAAGTAGACATCCCAGTACTAGTAACTGCCTACTAATGCAAGATCAGCATATACTAGTTTAGTTTAACACTTGGTCAACAAAAGAAAGAGATTGAAAATAGCAGCACTTTTCATTGTCACTCTTTCATTAATGATGCCGTCGCATGTCGCATATTTGTAAATATCAAAACATGTGAAACAGATAAGTGACGACTCCGTGGCCCAGTGGCTTAGCAATGAGTTGCTAAAGCTAAGTCTTACCAGTGCGATGCCGAAACATGCTGCAAATTAATTAAACATACTTCTCAATCACTAATTATTATTATTTCCCAAAATATTCGTAGTATTTATAAAAACATAAATGGCTTTACTGCACAGTTGACTAGGCTTACATTTGAACTTTTTTTTTTATTATAAGATAAGGGTGATAAACGAGCACACAGTCCACCTCATGGTAAGTGGTTGCTGTGGCACATAGACATCTACATTTATCCTCGATTACGAATCAAAATGCAGATGCATTGTCATCCGTGAGGACTAAGATGGTATGCCTCTTTTCCAGTAAAAAGGGTCTCCGGTTCTCTACACTCACCATACGAAGCACAGCAGCATTAAGCTGCTATTTTATGCTGGTATTCTGTGAGAATGTGGTCCTTCCCCGGTCGAGCCGACCCATTCGTGTTACAACTATACCAGATATATAGCTGCAGCATGACTTTACCACGTATAAAAACCTGATGGTATCATTCTAACAGAATGCTGGCTGGCTGAGAACAAACCAACGCCGGCTATGGATAATTACTCACGTTATTTTTAAGAAGAGCCGCAACCAAAACGATGATATTGTCATATACGTAAAGCATGAAATAAAATGTATGGTAGAGGAACCAGATCCAATAGATGCAAACTTTTTACTTCTTTCAATTGGCAATGACATTGTTATCTTGGCCGTATACAGGTCACCGTCTATATATTGTACATGTAGATAATTTTTTGAACTCTGTTGACAGTCTACTTCGTCCGTGTAAAAGTAAAACTGTTGTCCTGGTTGGAGATGTTAACGTATATATTAAGCAAAATAGTATCGATAGAAAAAGGTCATCATACTTAAATCTTTCTGCCGAGCTTGGACTTCTGCCAGATCATACGTTCCCGACTAGAATAAATAGTTGTCTGGATCATGTAATAATAAAAATCCCTTTGTCAGCAATAATTTCTGTGATAGAGTTAACGGTAACAGACCATGATTCAGGTTTTCCATGTCTATTCTATAAACCGAAGCAATTACAAATACAAAAACCGCAAAATCAGTTTTTGTAATTTGAATGCGCTTTACATTCAAATTACAAAAACTGACTTTGCGGCGACTATTAAGCAATTAGAATCCTCAGATTTCTCTTTCATCTGCCCTACAGCTGACGCCGAAGAGGCTGCAACTCTCTTTTTTGATAAGTTATCAACTGCAATAAAATCTAACTCCACGAGTATTACTGTATCTAGGCGCAAAAAAATACTAAAGCCATGGATATCCGCTACCGGGACAAGTTACATAAAAATCTGAAAAAAGATCCAAATAACCAAATACTTGATATAACTTAAAAAAATGCAAGAAGTTGAGGATGAACTTTGCAAACGTCGGAAAACTACTCGCGGACAACATTATTTCATAATCTTTAAGCACTTTCCGAGACAGCGCAAATGATTATAAAACATCCCGTAGCAGAGATTCGATGGTTCTACTCCCACCAGATGAAAGCGTAATTGATGTCTTGATCATGCATTTTAAAAACGATAATGCTACTGGCTGGGACTCTAGATCAATTAAGTTCCTTAAGCTGATAAAACACATCATAGTCCCGGTCTTTACCATTATCGTTAAATTGTGTTTTGAGTAAGGCGTTTTTCCCAAGGTTTTTAAAACAGTTCTCATTACACCTGTTCACAGGAGTGGGGCACGAGACTGTAACAAATTATAGACCAATTTCTGTGCTACCAGCACTATGCAAAGTGTTAGATATGTAATAATGAATAACCAACTGTTAAATTCTTGGAAGAAAATAACATTCTTTCAGACTAGAAGAAAGAGTTCATCATAAAGAGTCCCTCTTTCTCCATGAAGTCGGCCAGCTGCTGGCCTCTTGGGTTCCGTTGCCCTATTCCGAATTTCTCTACTTTCAGCTCACCGTTTTCTCTTGTACCTAGTTTTGCGTTGAAGTTTTCCATTAACACCGTATAGTGGGGTTTTGAGGAATGCATGGCTCTAGAGATATCCTCATACATTTCCTCCACCTCCA